GGCACGTCGGTGGTGATGGCGCCGCCCTCGTCAAACACCGGCGGATTGTTCATGTCGTTCTTCTGCACAAAGTTGCGGTGCATGCCCTGGTGGAAGACCTGCAGCTGGCCCTCGTCCACCCAGGAGCAGTGCCAGTAGCTCATGTCCTTCCACTTGCAGAAGAACTCACGTTCGCGGGGCTTTCGATTCTTCAGGTTCTTCAGCAGGTTCTTTGTGGAGTCCTCCGCGGAGAGGGCCTTCTCGCCGTCGGCCCCCTCCACCACCGCCTTCTTCCAGCGCCAGGTGATGATGCGCTGCACCTTGCCCTTCAGCGGCTCCACCGAGCAGGCGAGGCAGTGCCAGGTCTCCGGCACCTCGTCCAGCGGCGGGTTCATGCAGTGGATGTGGTAGCGGGCGGGGCAGGTGGCGCAGAAGACGATGTCGCCGCCCTGCTGGCGGCAGCCCTTGCAGACGATCTTCTCCGCCTTCTCCACCTTCTCGCCCTCGCCGGCAGCCGCTCCGGCCTGCTGCTCGCTGAAGGCGCTGTCGATGCCGTGCTCGTCGCAGTGCGGGCAGCTCCAGTTGCCCGACGGAGCGGCGGCCATGTCCATGCAGATCAGGTGGTAGGCTCGCGGGCAGGTGTCACAGAGCAGCAGCTCGCCCACCTGGTTGCAGATCTCGCAGTAGTCGCGGTTCTCGATTTCCGGCGGTTTGCTACCGCTGGACCCTGACTTTGACGTGGACGCCCCGGCTGAGTTGGAAGAGCTGGAGGAGGCGGCGGCGGCCTTCTGCTTCGCCTCGTAGTCCTTCTGCTTCTTCTTCTTCTTGGCCGCCAGGGCGGCCTGCTGCTCGCGCAGCTCCTTCGGATCGGGCTTGCCGTTCTTGGTGCAGTGCGGACAGCACCAGTCATCGGGAATCTCGTCGATTTCATCATCGATGCACACCTTGTGGTAAGCTCGCGGACAGTAGTCACAGAGAATCAACTCACCGCCCTGGCGACATCCCTGGCAGTAGTCCTTGTGGATGATCTTAAAGTCAATCACGTCTTTGCTGCTGCTGTTGTTGTTGCTGGCGGTGCTGCTGCTGGCGGCGGTGTTGTTGTTGTT